GTGTAAAAAATTAAAAAGTCAAAAAGCTAGCATTTTTAGGAAGTTCCCAAATCTTGATTACATGCATTCTTTATCCAGACAGGAAATATGTAACAAGAAAGTTAAGAAACACAAAATAACAAATCCCTAATATTGTTTTCTCAGTTTGGCCTTGGCAATAATACCGGCACATGTTAAATCTTCCAAGTGACTTTTAACTAACCTCCATTTTTCTGAGGCTCTTTAAATCTCTCTGGTAAGATACTACTTCATTCTCCCTCACTTCCAAGATTGGGAATAAGGTAAGAAGTTAGATGAGATTTGGGAACCACCCTGTAAGTAGAATTAATGAAAAGCCATTAGATGCATCCCACTAATATACATCATACATGTACATACATAACAATATACAAAAAAAAAAACAAAAACAAAAAAAAAGTGCAACGAGTCCATCGAATGAGAGCACAACACTTACATGCATATCCTTTCTATCCACGGGCCTAAACAAGTAGAGTAGAGGCCTTTTCAGGCTAGGCTAAAAAATGAGCATTCAGATTTGTACACAGGTTCTTCTTTACTTTTATTTTGCTTACACATACACAAACATATAATTATAAGGGAAATTTGGCCAAAACCCCTCCATTTCACCCTTATTTGGTGAAAATGATAACTTAATTTATTTAATATCAACTTTAAAACATATTTCATCCCAAAAGGCTCAATCATCTTTTAGCAAATAAAAACCTTAAAAAGAGGAAACACAGAGAGTGAGAGAAAATATATAAATCTTCTAAGCTACCTATTTGTAGAACAAACAATAAAACTATTTGAATAAAATACAGTTACAGATCAAAACCATTGAAGCTGACTACCTGAGAGAACTAAAACAAATAAAACTAAAACAAATAAAAGAGCTATAGATCCGATACCTAAGAAAAACAAAAACATAGATCGAAATCAAAATCATCCAAAACAAGCTTGAGTCAGACCAATAAAAGAGAAGAGCACCTAGATCAACAATGGAAATCGAAATCCTAAGCAACCGTTTCAGTCAATCGAATGAAATCAAACTAATAGAATGTAAATCAAAACAGATCTAGATTGCTACTGTGCAGTCATGAAAATCTCTGAATCTCGAGTGAACACAGCGAGATTGAAAAGCCCTTTCAAAAAGATCCACTGCATTTTTTCAGCGCCGTGTAGAATGAAACCCTAGATAAATGAAAATCAAGGGAGATCGAACAATCTTGAAGAAAATTGGTCAAATCAAGGGAGATCGACCAATATCGAAGAGAGATCGAATAATCTCGAAAAAAATTAGTCAAATCGAGTGCACAAAACAAGATTTCAAAATAAAAAAATAATGAAAAACGATTGAGAGATTTAAGGTTTTGATCTACAATAGACTTACTTGAAATCTTCATCATCAGTTGCTTCATCAATATCTACAAAGAGAGCTTCATTCATGCCATTTTAGACAGAGAATAATGTTGGAGAAGGAGAAGGAGAAAGAGCGGGGAGAGGGGAGAGGGGAATGAATCTGAGACTCTGATGTTGGAAATAAAAGTTATATTCTATTAGGTTTGAGTATCAGAGGTTTGTTTCTTTTTCCTTTTTTTAACTCATTAATTAATTGGCAAGGTTAAGCATCAGTGAAGGCACGCGTCTTGGAAAACGAGAAACGAAGACGTTTTTCAAAAAACGTCTTTTTCTAAGCGCCGTGACATTGAATTTTTCTTGTAGTGTTTCTTGAGCTGTAGGTCGATTGCGAGCATGTTGAAGGTCATAGGGTGGTCGAATTTGGTTGTATTATGGTCCCAACGCCCGTAACCGGAAGTGTGAAGCTTGATTGCCTTGTTTTCTTCTTTGATGATCTTTGATCTCTCCAAGATGTATGGCAAGTATGAGTTCAACACCTTGTTTTTGTGCTTCTTGTGACAGATTAACTCATAGGATCTGATTTCAGATCGTAGCGATGAGTTAAGATGACCTAAACCCACTGATTGGAGCGGTGTACAGATCATCTTCCATTTGACTCTGACATTCTCAAAAACATCCATCATCTCCTCATTTCTCTCCATGTTGGTTTCTAGTTTCTCTCCTTCCTCTGCTTTGCCCAACCTAACTCTTTGAGTTTCCAAGGTCACTTTAGTGCCCAAGTAAACATCGACGGCCTCAAACACTTGGTTTAGGGAGAGCCCTTGAAATTCTTCTATGACAATGGTGAACTGAGAACAGAAATGACGAGAAAGGTGACGGAAAGTAGAGGATAAGAAGTCTTGAACTTCGTGGGGGAGGAAGTCATTAGCCACACTTCGAATAAGCATCGCTGAAGCAGCCAGAGAGGCTACTGTAGACAACATATTTTTCATCAGGCGCTCTTTGAACAGATATTTTCAAGGGCCCAATAAAAATGATGGATTTTTGGTTACCAACTTGAATGGAGGGGGTATTGGTGAGGAGTTTGGAGAAGGCTTTTCTGGGTTTCTCTGCCAGAGGCATTTCCAGGATTTTATAGCAGAAAGCTTTGAAGTTTCTTGGAGACTACTCAAGGATATTAGACTATAAAATTCAAAAGTCAGCGCTTTGATTGACTTTTGACTCTAAGGTTTCTTGCTAAGCAAACATAAGAAAAGTTGAGGGTGAAAATATGGTACGAAATGGTTCTAAGCCTCTAACGCTTGACCTTCACGCCTTTACATCACGGTTCTCAGCAAATGAAATCAATTCGTTGCTCATCTCTTTGGGATATATTTGAACTAGCATGAAATAAAATAATATATTATTTAATAAAAATATGATAATTATATTTAATTTTTTTTATGTTATATAAAACAAAAATTGAATAGAAGTTAGTTAATTGAAATTTTTTTAATTGTTTAAAATTAAGAAAATTTAAAAAAAATTAGTATGAGATATTGATCATAAAGCTTCTTATTAAAAATCTTATTTTGCTTATATAAATGAGAATATAAGATTCACTTTATGTAAGCGAAACAATTCACTTTTTCTTTTTTTTTCTCGATGTGAGATTATAAAATAAAAGTTAAACGAAAGCTAGCCAATGTGAATTTTCTTAATTGTTTAAAAGTTCACAATTGTTTAGGCGAGAAGTTTATTTTGAATCAAGTAATCTTAGTAATTTAATTTTTAATTAGGTCAATCTTTAATTTATTTCGAATCAAACAAATTTAACCAATATATTTTGATAAAACTGTTAAAATCGCAGTTTAACTAGCGAATCAGTCAAACCGAAAATGATTCACCCTATCAGTTAGGTCAAAGGACTAACCAACTTATACAAAAATTAATTAATTAAAACTTTTAAATTTTATTTTAATTTTAAAATTTAAATTGTCTTAAACTAAAACATACACAACACTACAATATTAAATGGGAGCATAAGGTTTTTATAGTGAAACAACTCATTTTTTCCTCATTTTCCTGATGTGAATTGTAAAATAAAAGTTAACAGTTATTTGGACGGAAAGTTCATTTCTAATCAAGCAATCTCTGTCATCCAATTTTTAATAAAGTGAATCTTAATTTATTTTAAATCAAACAAATCTAAGTAATATATTTTGATAAAACACTTAAAACCATGGTTAAACCAGTGAATTAGTCAAAACGAAAACGATTTAGCGTAATTGGCTAAGTCAAAAGACCAACCAATTTACAACAAAATTAATTAATTAAAACCTTTAAATTTTATTTTAAAATTTAAACCATCTTGAACAGAAACATGCTCAATACTATAATAAGATTCATGATGGGTCGTTTCGCTCATAAAAAATAAACGCTAAACTCTACCAAATTCTTTAGAATAATGGTAAGTCCAGGTATCGATCCACAGGAATAATTGTGAAATTAAACTAATTTAAATGCTAAATTTCTAAATTAATTTTGATGAAAAAATGATTGTTCATAACCTAATAATAATTAAATTAAACAAAGCAATTAAAATTGAAATTGAAATTACTGATTGTGAAAAAACCTAGGATAATAAATTTACCACTAGTTACATAAATAAGGTTTTAAATTAAAAGTCAATTATGCTACGGTTCAAACTAAATAATTCTTTGCAACTACAAGTTTAAAGCATTGATTAAGAGAGTTATCACGTTCAATGTATAGGTACGGACTATCTCAAGTAGTATGAGTCGTTCACTCTAAACTAGGATAGCAAATGACTCATCTCTCGTAATATGGTTCGTCTCATATCTTGAATATGAAATAAAAGAAAACCCATTGTATGGAAAGTATTCAACAATCACAAAAAGTCAAATAGTCGAAAAAATAATGGAAAATATATATTTGAAGCTTCTTAAACACCATATAATTGTTCAAACCATTACATAAAAGAAAACCCATTTACATAGCTAGGGGTTCATTAAAACCTTAGAAATACTCATGGAGGAGTGAGAAAAGGTAGAGGGAGAAGAAGCCACCATATGAGACTATCTTCAAGCTTTAAGTTATTTTTCTCCAAACCCTAGCCTCTCTCTTCTTGAAAAAATCTCAAAACCCTATTCAGCCTATTTTCTGTCTTTTTATACCTCTGATGTCTTCTAAACAGGTTTAAAACAGCAATACAAATTCTGAGGTACGGCCGCACGTGCTGGAATGGTCACCATACGTGTGTGAAAGGTTCCGCACTTGCGGGAAAAACCCTCTGCATGTGTGGGAAGCTTGGGCATCGCACGTGTGGCGCTATAGGGCAATGTGAGCAAGCATTCTGCTTAAATTGCAAGTGCATGAGACATATGTGGAGATGGTCCCACACGTGCGACAAGAACCCCCGCACGTGCGGCTAAAAGGGGCAGTCCTGGTTTTGTTTTTTGCTCTATTTTTTCACATTTCGGGCCCCGTTTGCATGATTTAAACGTGTTTCTCATATGCATTACATTTCATGAACACCAAGAAAGTGTAAAACAAGTGATAGAACCGAACGAGTAAACAATATGTGGAAACCAATTATGTAAACAACGAATCGATTGAACGAGTGGACTATGTATTGAGTTGTTGTGCTTGAACTTGTTTGTTTAGGTCGGACGCCACACCGTTAGTGCATTGTAGTACATGTTTCGAGGAGCCCACTGTGAGTAACAATGTTGTAAAGTTATGTTAAATTATAATTATTTTCTGAATGATTACTGTACTGCTTTCTGAAATTATATTATTTATTGAATGAATGTTTGTCCTATTATATGAACTGTACTCGTGGCATCTATAGCAACTGACTGTTACTGCTACTGTTATTGTTAATGTTTACAGCTACTGTTACAGAAATCTCTATCAGTTCCAATCTTTGGAACTGCTGTTATTGTATTGATGGCCATTAACTGACTGTTCGGTCTATTAAGACCTACTGTACTGTTTTGCTATTAGATGTATCATGTATGACTGTTATGATTTCTAAACGACTGATATGACATGAAATATGAGACATTTATTGAATAACTGATCTACAGATGCAATTGACTGTTTTAATTACTGAAAGGACATTCATTTTTAACCCCTTTACACATTTGTTATTCACTAGGCTTTAGCTTGCAGTTTATTATAGATATGTAGGTGGTTAGGCACCGGAGCAAAGTTAGCAGCGTCGACCTGAACCTGTTTTGTCAAAACAACCTATTGTGCCTCACCACGAGGTTCCGAACCGTTAATGTCAAGGCTTGTTTTTGGGTGCTCTCATATAAAGTCCAATAAGTGTTGTAAAAATCGTTTTGGCTTTGGGATTTAATTCCCTAACATCTGTTTTGTTTTTGTATATAAACATCTTATGGACTTAAGTGTTTGTGCATATATCAATATATGAAACTTGTATTACTCATTTAAGTCCTCACAGCTTTTTAGACATTCTATTTTAATATTTACAAGCTTCCGCAGACCCTTTCATTGTACAATTGTTATTACTGGGCCTTTGGTAATCACAGATTACTGGCCAGTTACGATGCTAAACCCTTAGGGGTGGGTTTGGGTCGTAACAAAGTCGTATCAGGCCCAAACCTATCCTTATAGGTTTAGCATTATGATCGGCCAGTAATCCTAAGATTACCGAAGGCCTCGTATACAGATACATAATATTAGGGGCTAGTGGAAGCAAAATACAAGCATCCATTGTCCATTGAGTTGTGGAGACTTACATGAGACAGAAAATATTTAAACTTTATATATATATATATATATTATCACATCATTGCTACGTCATCATATATACAATTGAGACAAAAGGGATTTAGACCTATATACAGAATAAATAAAAACTTAAATTTTAATCACATAGCCTTGACCACTTGACATATCCGGAACCTCCACGGGAGGCGCATAGGTTGGCTAACAAAAATAGATTCTAGGCAAACGCCTCTAAGCCTAGCCACGCGTTTGATCATCTACATACATATACATAAATAGTGAACTGAAGCCCAGTGAATAACAATTATGTAAAGGGCTTAAGGAATGATGTCCTCATAGCTACTTAAACAATCAATTTCAGTAGTGAGTCAATTCACAAAGCAGTATCTCATACATTTCAAAGTCATAATGAAATCATAGCAGTTATACGTGGTGCATCCAATAGCAGAACAGTACAGTAGGTCTTAAAGACAGAACAGTCATTTGATGGCCATCAATACAATAAACAGTAGTTCTAAGAATTGAAACTGACAGAGATCTTTGTAACAGTAGCAGTAGCAGTAACAGATGCTATGGATGCCACGATTACAGTTCATAAAATAGAACAATTATTCATTCAGTAAACAGTATCATTTCAGAAAACATTGCATTTTATCGATCAAGGAATAATTATAATTCAACATATCTTTACAATGTTATTACTCACAGATAGCTCTAGAGATGGAGTAGACGGACTGTAACATGTGACCTGCACAATCACATAACAGATACACATTGAAACACAATATCATTTTCTTGATCAAACTTAACTTTCCTGTCTTTTTCTGTCTAAGTAACCCTAAGTTCTATTGTGCTTATCTTTTTTTTTACTCAAATAAACTGGGTTCTCATTCCATATATTCTTTCATTACTAAATCATTTTTTTACAAATAGACCGATTTCTTACTTGGTTTCTTAATCAATTATTACTTAGTCAATGATTCATTCTTTAACCAACTAATTTATGTTGATTCTTAACTTATTAATCTTCATTTCAAAAGTTAGGCTCATGCATGACTCAATCAAATATACAAAAACATTCCCAATTACATATATTTAAAGTTAATTCCACTTATTTTTAAAATCCCATGATTTTAAGTCACGACCCTAACCAGCCCTTAAGGGTTTAGCATCGTAACCGGCCAGTAATTCGTGATTACTAAAGGCCTACTTAACAGTAATAACAATTAAACAAGAAAATGGGCCGGCAGAAGCCTGTACATATTAAAACATAATGTCCAAAGAGCTGTGAGGATATAAATGAACAAACAACTTCCATATGAATATATATACC